ATGGAAGCTAAATACAACAGACTAACAGAGTAAAGGAAAGTTACAAGTGTGGTAATTTTCCTAACTAACTTTTAACTGTTTGTTATTACTATTATGTTGAGTTACTTGAGTAACTTTCTCTTCACACCCCCTCAAGCTAAACGGAGAAGGTTGAAGTGATAGCTTGGACCGGAGAAAAAGAAAGCGTTGCCTGGGAAGGGATTTGGTATGAATGTCAGCAAGTTGATCCTAACTGCATACAAATTGGACAGTCAGCAACTTGGCAAGAACAAGTTCCCTTATGTAATGGTAATCTATTTCCACATGCTTGGTACGAGCATGGAAAACAGGGTTGGAAGCAAGGGCAATCGCAGAAACATTATCACACCAAATTTGAGGAAGAGAAGGCAGCTTGAAACCTATATCAGTGAACAATTTGCAGATCCATGTTAATTCAGCAGCAGTGTGTGCCAAGGACCTATATTCAGCTTCGGTGGATGAACGAGCAACGGTGTGTTGCTTCTTGGCACTCCAACTGATGATAGAGGATCCAAGAAAGATGCAAAATCCCCCAGTAGAACGTCTATCCCAGGAACAGCCTGCCCAATCAGCATCAGAATATGCTTTGAGAGTAAGAGGAGTCGAGTTTTTAGGAAACCAGAGACCATATCCAAGTGTTCCCTTAAGATAGCGGAGTATGCGCTTCACTGTTGAAAATGGGGTTCCCGAGGAGAATGCATAAACTGGCAGACCAAGTTTACTGAAAAGGAGAGATCCGGACGAGTCCATGTAAGATATTGAAGAGCACCAACAATAGAGCGATATTCCTCTGGATTATCCAATAGAGAACCAGTGAGATCAAGCTTAGTAGAACCAAGAGGAGTGGTGCAGGGCTTTGCTCCATCCATTTTAGTGCGTTGGAGAAGATCTAAGATGTACTTAGATTGATGAATAAAGATCCCTGTAGAAGCTCGGGTAACCTCCAAACCAAGGAAAAAATGCAAATCGCCTAAATCCTTAATGGGAAACTGATCACTAAGTTGAGAGATAACATTAGTGCAGGTTGTGGAAGAAGGTCCGGTGACAAGAATGTCGTCAACATAAACCAAAACAACCACCAAGACAGGTTGTTGCAACACAAACAAGTTGTGATCAGATTGTGAGGCCTTAAATCCCATAGAGAATAGAGCAGATTGCAGTTTTTCAAACCAAGCCCGAGGAGCTTGTTTCAAGCCATAGAGGGATTTTTGCAAGTGACAAACATAAGAAGATTTGTCCTGATCAATGAAGTCTGGAGGCTGAGACATATACACATCTTCCTTGAGAAAGCCGTGCAAGAACGCATTACTTACATCCAATTGATGCAGAAACCAATTAGACTGAACTGCAAGAGTGAGAAGAAGTTGAATTGTAACTGGTTTAGCCACTGGGCTAAACGTATCACTGTAATCAATACCCTCCTGCTGATTGTAGCCCTTAGCTATTAACCGGGCTTTATAACGGTCCACAGAACCATCAGGGTTCCTTTTAATCCGGAAGACCCATTTGCACCCAACGAGATTGTAAGAAGGATCAGAGGGAACCAATGTCCAAGTTCTTGTATTTTGCAGAGCATTAAACTCATCCTGCATTGCAGTTCTCCAATGGGGATATTTGGATGCCTGAATGTATGTAGTTGGAACAAATTCAGTGTTTAAGTTGGAAGGAAGAGGATGTTTGGTAGCAGTAAAGGCCTTGGGCTTAAAAATTCCAGATTTTGACTTGGTTTGCATAGGATGAGTAGAGACAGGAAGGGTTGGAGGTGGGACAGGGACAATATCAGGAACTGGGACAATATTAGGAACTGAGACAGGTGCAGGTACAGAAACTGATTCAGATGCAAATTCAGTAGGACTTACAGATGGTGGAGGTTGAAAGACAGGGGGAGAGGTAAGGGATTGTGAACGTGTAATAGAAGGAGTAAGAGAGGATGAAGAATAAAGGTTGGGAAAGGTAAGGCAAAATGAGGAAGGATTGACTGAGGAGGAAGCACAAGAGGGTAGCTGTGAAACAAGAGAGGGATTATGAAATGGGAATGTGGTTTCATCAAAGTAGACATGCCGGGAGACATACACTCTATTGGTGAAGGGGTCTAAGCATCTGTAACCTTTGTGAACCAAACTGTAGCCAATAAAAACACATAACTTACTCTTAGGGTCGAGTTTGGACTGTGTATATGGCTTGAGCCAAGGATAGCAGCTGCAACCAAAGATTTTCAGCTGAGTATAATCTGGTTTCTTCTTGAAAAATTGCTCCCAGGGTGAAGATTTAGCAGTTGGAGGAAGCCGATTAATGAGATAAACTGCAGTGAGAAATGCTTCTACCCAAAATTGATGAGGAACCTGAGATGCAATAAGTAGTGTCCTGGCTGTTTCCACAATGTGTTGGTGTTTCCGTTCTGCACACCCGTTCTGCTGAGGAGTGTATGGACAACTAAAATGTTGATGGATGCCATGACTGGACAAATGCTGTTTGAACTGAGTACTAATAAACTCACCCCCTGAGTCACATCTCAAAGTTCCAATTTTGTGACCAGACAGATTTTCAACAAGAGCTTGAAAGTGAACAAAAACTTGAAATACTTCTGATTTATGTTTGAGAGGATACAGCCAAGTGTACTTAGTAAAGTCATCAACAAATATGACATAGAATCGATAACCACTGATAGAAGACAGTGGAGCGGGACCCCAAACATCCGCATGAACCAACTCTAAAGATCTAGAAGAATGACAAATAGAATTCTGAAAAGGTAACTTGGCACATTTGCCTAAAACACAATTCGAACAGAAAGATTGTTTGACAATAGTAGATAAAGGCAAAGAAGACTTTGAGATCACAGATTGCAAAGTCTTGAACGTTGGATGCCCCAAACGTTGATGCCAAGTGTGTTGTGATGCCTTGAGTGCAGTAAGACCATGATGCTTCGATGAAGACTGAGAAGATGCAGAAAAGGGATAGAGACCACAGCGAACAGGAGCTCTAAAAAGCATCATCCCCATAGTAAGATCCTTGACATGAAAGTCAAAATGATTTAGAGTTAAGGAACACCAATTGTCTCTAAGAAACATATTTGCAGAAACAAGATCATGTTTCAAGTGTGGAACATGCAACACATTTTGTAATTTAAAAGAAGGAGTATGAAGTAACGAGGAACCAGAGTGGAAAATCGGCAAACCTTGGCCGTCTCCAATGTAGACTTTATCGGGGCCACTGTAAGGTTGTGGATTCTGAAGATTTTGGAGGTTGTTGGTCATATGAGAGCTTGCTCCAGAGTCAAGTAGCCACGGAGGAGAAGAAGATGCATTTGAGCGAGCATACATAGCAAGCTTAGCTGGTGGAATACGGCCTTGAAAATTGGGATTCATACGATTGGAGCAGTCAATCGCTTGATGACTAGTGTCTTCACAGATTTGACAAGGAACATTCCTGGAATTATTGTTAAAGAACCGAGCACCATTACGAAATCCTTCATCACTACGATTTCCTTCACGATTAGAAGCATTCTTGTTGATGTGGTTACGAGTGTATCGATTGCGATTATTATAATTCCTTTGAGAATTATTGCGCTGAAAATTGCCTCTGTTGAAATTAGAGGAATGAGGAGGCTGAGCAATATACGCCTGAGGTGTAGGAAGGAGTGGAGGTGAAGACGCTGGAACAGAATGAAAAGCTTGATAGGGTGCATAATTTGTTCCTTGAGTGGAATGCTTGCGAGCAAGAGCCATTTCTTTACTTAACAAAAATCCGTGAAGATCATCAACAGTAGTATCAGCAAGTCGAAACTGAACAGAATCCACAAAAGAATCATACTCATCAGGTAAGCCATTTAGAATGATGAGGAGTAGATCATGATCATCCACATGAGCACTAGCGGCGGCAAGAGCATCAGTAGCCTCTTTGATGCGTTGGAGATACTCCGAAATAGAAAATGAACCTTTCTTGGCAGATTGCAAGGTTGAACGGAGTTGATGAATGTGAGAACGAGATACACCGCCAAACCGCCGTTCAAGATTTTGCCAGAGTTCTCGCGCAGATTGAACGCCAACAATGAAAGGAATTAGATCTTCCGAAAGTGTGGAATTGATCCAGATAATGATGTTCTGATCCTTCTCATACCACAATTCATAGTCTGGATTGGGAACAGAGGTGAATCGACCAGAATCATCAGCAAGAAACTGAGGCGGTGGAGGTTCAGATCCGTCAACAATACTGGTAAGTTTGTAGCGACGAAAGATCGGCTCGAAGAGAGATCGCCACACAAGATAGTTATGGCGCTTGAGCTTAGTCTGAATCATGCTGCCGATATTGTGTATCGTAATCGAGTTGATCGAGGCCTGAATTGAAGAATTAGGGTTTGTGTGCAGCGGAACTGAAGGATGAGGATTTGGAGAAGAAGAAGGAGGATTAGCAAGCACAGGAGGAGAAGGATGGTGCGCGATCACTGGGGAAGAAGAAGTCGAAGAATTGGCCGCCATAGATTGTTGATTGTAGAAAGAAAATGACAGGAATGAGACCTGTTTGGTGACTAAGAAAATGAGAGGAAGCGTACGAAGGATCTTAGTCGGTAGACTTTAGGCGAGTGATACCATATTGGGAAATGATTTTCATTACACCAAAGGATAAGTTACAAGAGTATTTATATGGAAGCTAAATACAACAGACTAACAGAGTAAAGGAAAGTTACAAGTGTGGTAATTTTCCTAACTAACTTTTAACTGTTTGTTATTACTATTATGTTGAGTTACTTGAGTAACTTTCTCTTCACTAAAATCACGCAAAAAAAAAAAAGATTTATCTGTAAAAAAGAACGACCTCATACCAAGTATTTTCCATGATACAGGACTAATAAGTAATAACGACGATGGTCCATATGTATAGGGTACAGTCAGAGAGGAAGGTGACCAATGTCGTGGAGTAGATTTCTCTTCACGTGTATTCCCAATAGTTTTTTGTATGTATTATTTGCATGCTTTTTTTAATCTCCCTCTCTCTCTCTCTCTCTCTCTCTCTCTCTCTCTCTCTCTCTCTGTGCAACACAATTATGTCAAAATTGCAGAGAGATCTCGCTTTGAATTGAACTGTTAATTTATCTCTCTCTCTCTTCCCCCTCCCACATCCCACTTGGTTACAAAACACCTTCACTTTTGGCAAATTTTCAGAAATCTCAGCTTTAACTTTTTCTTTCATGGGTTCCTCCTCATCCTTCATTTATATATAAACACACAGAGCTTGAGAAAAACTGGGAGAGAGAGAGAGATCTTGTTGCAGATGGGTTCTGATATCTGGCAAATGGGATTTATTTTCTGGGTTTTTTTTGGTTTCTTGGTTTGTTCTGTAAATGCAAAGGTTGGTTTTGGAGGAGGAAGTGTGGAAGGCACAGTCCGCATCAATGGCAGAGACGCCATTGGGAAAATTGACGACGATTTTATTTGTGCAACTCTTGATTGGTGGCCTCCTGAGAAATGTGACTATGGCACATGCAGCTGGGGTCGTGCTTCTCTCCTCAATCTGGTATATATATACACATACACATATACATATACATAATGTTTCTCTCTCCAGAAACGCCTACACATTCATATGTTTTTCTTTAGATTTGTATATAATCAGAAATCAGAAATCTTTTTGGCATACTGTTTTATTGAAGCAGATTGTATTCCGGGGTTTTCACAATTAAACTGATCTTAAGTCTTCAAATTTAACTTTTCTTATGAATGTACAATTCAAAATATCCGAAATCTCTCTTTCTTTTGTGTTCTTGTTCATACTTTTAGCAGTTGTAATGCTTTCTGATATTTGTATGGTAATTGTTGTGCAGGATCTAAAGAACACTATCTTGTTAAATGCTATAAAGGGTAGGAATTTCTTGATTCCATTATAAAAACTCGGGTTTCGATCCGGCATTTATAATTAAGAGCATAAAAACTTTCTTAATTCTCTGCTAATTGTGCAGCTTTCTCACCATTGAAACTTAGACTGGGCGGCACATTGCAAGACAAGGTGATATATGCTACACCAGACAACAAGCATAGCTGTAATGCTTTTCGAAAAAGCACTTCTGAGATGTTTGGTTTCACTCAGGGCTGCTTGCCCATGAGGAGATGGGATGAATTAAGCTCTTTTTTTCAGAAAGCCGGGTAACAATTATAATCTCTCTTCCCTGTGCTTCTTCATTAAAGTTAAGATTTTTTAAAACAAGAGCAAGTGACATCATCCGATGGACGATTTCTTCAGGGCTAAGATTATCTTCGGGTTAAATGCTCTCACCGGAAGAACAATTAATTCGAACGGTACTGCAACTGGAGCTTGGGACTACACCAATTCGGAGTCTTTCATCCGTTACAACGTCAAAAACAACTACACAGTTCATGGTTGGGAGCTCGGTAAGAGCGCATTTCGCACCAAAATGTCCTTAAACATCACGTAAGTTTAATGTACTTGTGTATAGAAACTGAAGGAGTTTTAATGCTTGTTCAGGGAATGAATTGTGTGGACATGGAATCGGAACAACAATCTCGGCAAGTCAGTATGTATCCGATACAACTGCTCTGCAAAAGATAGTACAAGACATCTACAAGGGCGTCGAACCAAAGCCACTAATCCTATCTCCGGGAGGATTTTTCGATGCCAATTGGTTCAAAGACTACACAGATAAAACCACCACATCCTTAGACGTTGTCACTCATCATATATATAATCTAGGGCCAGGTATAACTGATTGAACAAACACATTGCGAAACATCCTGTTTATCGGTTTAATTTGCAACTTCCTAACTGATATAAGAAATCTTTGCTTTTGTGTTCTCAGGGGTTGATCAACACCTTATTGAAAAGATTCTCGATCCATCTGTTCTTGACGGTATTTCTAGCACATTCAGAAACCTCCGCGGCATCCTAAAGGGTTCTACAACTTCGGCAGCTGCGTGGGTTGGGGAAGCAGGAGGAGCTTACAACAGCGGCCGTAATCTTGTCTCCAATACATTTGTATATAGTTTCTGGTAACTTGGCCACAGCATCTAAAGCATCTTCTTTCGTTCTCTTGTGTTTAAATCTCCAGCAAGAATCATAATTTCGGTGCTTCAAACAGGTATTTGGATCAGCTGGGAATGTCAGCAACTTATGACACAAAAACGTACTGCAGACAGACATTGATCGGCGGAAACTATGGTTTACTGAATACTACCACCTTCGAACCTAATCCCGACTACTACAGGTAAACCACATACCGATCTTAATCACTTTCGAAGCCAAATTCAGACAACGTTTTAACACACCTGCTGCTTTATGCTGGCTTTCTCCATACCAGCGCTCTTCTTTGGCATCGGTTGATGGGAAGAAACGTACTAGCAACGAGCTTCTCTGGACCGAAAAAGATACGTGCTTACGCACACTGCGCAAAACAATCTGTAAGTCTTAACCACAATTTCACTACCATGAAAGACAGCAACCAGCAGTCTTTGTTTTTCTGACCTAATTACGATTTCATCTTACAGAAAGGGATTACGGTACTACTGATCAACCTGCACAATACCACCGCCATCGAGGCCAGAGTTGCCTTCAACGCTACATGGACGCTGCGACATAAACACAAATCACACAAGCTTCATAGATCACATGTGGCCAAGCTCCGTCAGGGTCTCGAAAGTTCAACAGAAAGAGAAGAATACCATCTAACAGCGAAGGACGGAAATATACAAAGCCAAACCATGCTGCTCAATGGAAACGCTTTGCGCGTAGATTCATCCGGGACCATACCTAGCTTAAACCCTGTGTATGTAAATGCATCAGAACCAATTGTGGTCGGTCCGTCCTCGATTGTATTTGCTCACATACCATACGTAGTTCCCCCTGCTTGCAGGTAGGCAATGCTTAAAGTGTAATTGTTAACATTGTTTCAATAAGAGAGAGGATACAATTCAATTTTCATCCTCTATCTTTATACTGTTCTGTTCTTAAAGCGGCTAAGTGGTTACTTTTGCATCCGAAGTCCTGTGTTTGGATCCCTGCTCACCAAATATCGGAACCAATTCAAAGTTCCTCAAGGACATGATGATTGATGTGCAATGCAAAGACTATCAAAGAAACTAATGATCCATCATCTCAAACCCTAAGTGGTGCAAACTAAATGGTGATCAAATGTCGACAAAAACTTCTGACCTTTCGAAACATATTTATACAACGTGAAGTTGTGAACTGTTAAAACAGCTGTACAATATCAGATTTCACCCGTCGTCGTTTGGGGGCTAACCAAGAACACTTAATCGAGATTACAACAACAAAAAAGTGTACTGCATGAAAGATTACATATACATGTGTGGTAGCTTGCCTTCTAGATGTACAGAATGAACAAAACGGCGAGTATTAAGCTAATTTCCGAACACAGGTGACACTAGTTATACATTGAATGAAGATTCCCTCTGTTTGGAAACTTCATTCAAGATAAAAAGACCGAACTACAAAAAAGGTCAGTCTCTCTTCGAAAAGGATTGAGGCTTACTGCTGGCAAACGCCAACCAAACGACTGTACCAGTCAGGTAGAAAAATATTGATGGAATGAACAATGATATCTGCATAACACGCAAGTGAATTAGTTACCACGAACTAATTGGGAAGATGTAAGCTATTGAAAGTAGGAAAGGGTTAAGGTTCACTAACAGAGAATACTTACACTCCATGAATGAGTTGAATCAAGAAGAATGCCGGTGAGGGCAACACCTATTATTCCAGGTACTGCCCCAACAGTGTTGGTAATACCCTGAGTGGAAAATTAGAATCCGTCACATCAACCAAATTTATAAGAATCTGGGTATGTTTGATTTTAAGAAAATGCATGGACATGGTTTTTGGTGACATCCATGTATCAAGTCCAAAAGTAGTTGCACTGTATACAGCTCTTATTATCACGACTCATGAGTAAATTTACGTCAATAATTGGCCAAGAAAAGAACTACCTAGATGAGTCAGACCACTGAATGGAATCATGCATGACCATAGATGAAAAGACACAAACTTCCACCACCCACCCTTCACACCGATGATGTGTACAATGTGGAAATCATATTTAAAGTTGAATTGTAACCAAGTGAATGGAGGAGGTGGATCATAAATAAAAAGAGGATGCTCCATAGCATCTTCCAGAACATAAATACAAATCACGGTTCTTGTAAATTTACATACCAAAAGTATGCTTGCGTATTCGGGTGACATGTCTTGATGGGTACAATACAATCCTGCACGTTTGATTATTACATTAAGAGTACAGCGTAAGACATTAAAACATTGTATTCACCATCCTAAACAATCAAGTCTCAATTTCGATTGCTCTGTACCTGACAACGCAAAGCTTGAGAGGGCTAAACCACCAGTGAGAATTCCAACAACTTCCCAATGGGGCAATCCTAGATCAACAGAGGAAAGAGTCATGCAAGCTGCAGGAGATAAAAAGGCAATTGTTTGGCAAATTTTTCGGACCTACATGTACAAAACAAGGGATTCAGAAACATTAAGAGTGAATCTCAGTGCAAACATTACCCTAATAAAATAGTCAATACTTTCTAGCTAGTTAAGGAATGATAATGGAAGCCATAAACTTATTATTCAAAACTAAATTATGAACGTAACAAGTTTATTATGTATTCAACAGGTAAATAGCAATTAAATGAACAAGCAAAAGGAAGTACATCCATAAACTTGAGAAAACTGTTGAGGGCGTTTTTCATCTTCTGTAGGAAAAACCTAAAAATTTCATCACGATGAAGTTTTTTGACTTGATAAAGTACAACAGAGTAGCTCGATCTAAAATATGCTTACTGTAGTGGTTTGAACTCCACTAGAAATCAAGCTATCAGCAAATTGTGATGCAATGCTAGTCACAAAGATTGAAGCCAATGGAGGAAGGATAGAGACCTGAAACAAACAAAAACCCCGATATCAGACAACTGAATAAACTTTATTATAAATTGGTAATACCTTATGCAGAAATATAATGCTTTGATGGGCAGATTCGTAGAGAATTAATAAGTCTAAGTATATGTATAACGTGGTATAAGATATTGCAGGCTGAAGTTGGTAATTCTATCTTGAACGCTAAGAACCAAAAAGCGGTGGACTTTTTAGACTTACCCATGCAGCTTCTGTCAAATTCAGGTTCAGCTCCTCACTGCATAGAAAATAATTTACTTACCTCAGATACAAAGTCCTTATAAACATACTTTTCAATAAAAGATTAGATAACTTATATATGACCTTAAGTTAATCCAGTACTTTTCGTTTTCCTTCTATTTCCTAGACCAAGTTACGGTCACAATTGTTGGCAAGTGCCGTCACAACTTACATTAGTTAAATAGACGAATAAAGTAAAAATCATACCTCCCTATCATCATACAATGTAAAAGTCTGCATGAATTACCTAAAATAGGTGGGAAGCCATGCTAGGCAAGTATAATGACCCCAGCTTCCACAAAAATGAGCATATATCATTGCCCATACAGCTTGACTTTGAAAAAATGCTTTCCATGGTACACCCTACTAAATAGAAGCAAGTAAGAAACCAAAGTCGTATACAGTAATCGCTACATGTTACGATAAGATGTAAACTATGATTATTAAACTTAAAAGCAATGATGTAAATCAAAAGGTTGCAGTTATCTTCTGGATTAGTCTAAACAACAATAAAGTTTAACATTCGTCACTCAATTGTCATATTCAGAACATTTGCCTGGCTAACACCAGCATTGCCCCAAGTCACACATACAACACAAAAAAGAATCACACCTTCAAAGAGTCACCTAATTCTTCGGTACTCCATGTTTTCTTCACATCTGTTGATTGGGACCCTATCAAGTATTTTTAAATGAATAAAAAGAATCGTCACTATGCAAGAAATGTAGCACGTGAAAATAATGCACAAACATATCCTTGAATTTTGATCTTGCCAACAGCATCTGGTATCGTTACCACACTATCCATGAATTGAAGTATTGACCACTCATCATCAAGATATAGGACAAATTTTCTTGTGAAACATTGTACAAATTAATAGTCTTGGAGGTCAACTTTATGCATTGTGACAAATTCGTAATGAATGAAAGAGGAATATGCAGTGATAGAATTGTGTGTATATCTTTGTAAATGGTAATGATCATTGTAACTGTGGCAACAATTGTGATTGCTGATACATTAGCAAAATGGTGCTCGTTGCATCATAAAGAGAGACATTGTAGTGAAGAAACTACAATGCGAAATGACAGGCAGAAGCAACAGTGGCTGTGGAGCCTTTACCAAGTATTAAATGCTCATTAAGTAGAAAAATAAATGGGGATTATGAAGCTTTCTCATAATTCCCAAACCAAACAGTTTTTCTTTAACAAAAAAAGATGATGACCAGATGGCATTGGTTACTCCAAGAAACAGGTCCTTAGTCAACTTTACCTTCGGATAAGTAATCAATTGCGCATTTTTACAGGAAAAAAAATATAAGCTTTGCCCAAATAAACAAGGATAATGGAGAAGGGATTAAATGCTCACGTGGAATAGATTCACCAACCCATGAGGCTTGTCCTTCAAGAAACTGAAATCCCAGATACCTTCAAGATAGATATATCAGGGAACAACATGAGCATATAGCCAGACTTCAGTGTTCCACAATAACATTTCTTTTCTTTTTTTTTCGAAAAGAAAAAGAGAAAAGAAGAGAGCTATTAACAATTAATTGGCCAAGTAAGTTCCTTTATAATAAATTATGATGGAAGGTTAGTACTTGGCAGAAAACGCAAAAAAGGAAAAACAATATTGTTTTTTTCCTGGCATATTGATAACAAATAAATAAGTTTTCACATTGACTGGAACAAGTTAAGTGAATTAATTCTTCATAAAAAAAAAAAAAAAAAAAAGGAGACCCCTAATTCTGAGTGTCTGAGACAGCTACTTACCAAGCAATCCCCAAAAAGGAAAATATGTAAAAAACAGATTCCCAGCCAAGATTTTGGATAAGGGGAGGAGCCAGAAGAAACCTGCAAGAAGTCCAATGTTACAAATGGCTATCAATGAAGGCTGAGTACACAACGAATATACAGACATAAGAAAACCAAACTCTTCTTTAGGATGACACCAAAAATTAAAACGTCCTCATATTGTACTCTGATTCAAAATTTCCCTTTTCATTTCTGAAAAAGAAACAAAAATCTTCAAAAACCCATTCAACATACCCTGCAACACTTCCTACACTCAGACCACCGAAGACAAATGCTACAGCCCGTGACCGCTCTTCCAATGGTATTGTCCTGCATTAGGTAAAAGCTTATTAAGGGTCTTAAATATAAAGAAATTGAATCCACTAGACAACCTGAATTTGAACAAAAGTATGTTTCAATGAACAACACCTATGAATCTATGATGCATAAGAATGTCATACATGCCTGGCAATAAGGTCCGTTGCAGCGGATGGGGAAACGCCTTCTCCAATTCCTACCTGTACTTCACAGAAAAGAGCTCTCAGTAAGTAACACATTTTTGACACTCAAGCCAACAATAGGATGGGAATCAAACACGAAAACAAAAGGCCGAACAAAATCGAACTGAATTACAAGAATCTGTAGAAAATAGAATATGTGGTAGATGAGTGTACCAAAATTCTTGACAAAACTAAACCAGGTGTAAATCCAGCAACAAGAGGTACAAGTGCTGTAGCCAAAGACCAAGTTAATACTCCAAACTCAAGAACTTTTCTGCATTAGAAGAAAACGATAGATGAGAATGGCATATAATATCGTGGCATCAGTGAACAAACAATTCTTAAAATGCTTCTAGTCATAGCACACGGAATAATTGTAGCACGATTGAACAATGCCGCATAGTTCTAAGTATAAATAAACAAGTAACAAGCTAAAAACTTGTAATGAGCTTTTAAAAAACAAACCTCCCACCAAATATCTTGGCAAGCCAGCCACCAGGCAACTGACTCAATGCATACCCCCAAAAGAACGAGGATTGAACCAATCCCGCCTCGGATGAACTCCATCCAAACTGGTGGGACATTGGAATTATAGCAATACTCAAGTTCACCTGTCAATCAAACACCCAAAAATCGAACTTAATCAATCCCACATGCAAAAGAAGCAAACTTGATTCGTTTAAAATCCAAAACCACGTCCAATTGCGTTTATGCAGTAAATCTCTTTCCTTTTCAACCCGAAGTGAATCAATGTTCAAGCTAAAAATTTCATGCCTTGAACTTGTTCGATGAAATGCCTAAGTGAGAAATAACAACAGAGCTAGCAGAGCCACAGGACTTACCTTATCCATATTGCAGATAACAAACGCAAGCGAGGTAGTCCCAATGAGCTTGTACCTCCGAGGCACGCTCTTCCACGGAGGCCAATCCCAATCAAAACCCACTTCCCCAGACCCGCTGTTCAGACCCGATTCACCCTCAGAATCCGACCCAGACCCCGAACCCGCCCGTTGGAGCTTATCCACCGGTAACCCATTGACCCTCTTAGTTTCTCTGACGCTTTCCTTCTCCTTAATACTACAAAACACTCTGAACTCCAAATTATGCTTCGGAGGGAACCGAATCAAACTACGCCGTCCGAGCGTGGACACGAACGACGATGGCTGCGATCCCGTGCTGTGTGAAAATAGGCACGAGGAGCTCTCGGCTCTGAGTGTGAGCTTCGCCATTTCAGTGCGTCTCTATCCGTGTCTAGTCCGTGACGACTAAAAGGTGGAAAATTTCAATTTGTTTTGTGTAAATTTTGGAGGAGGAGGAAGCGAGCTACTGGTGCTGCGTCGTAGGGGCATTTTTGCGCCACGGAACGGATTGGGTTTGTGGCTCAGATTTGTTTTGAATTCGGATCCTTTGGATTTATATGGTGGGGCCATGCTGTTGGGTCCCCACGCAACTCCCGCGAATTTGGGAGTCTCAAATTTGTTGGGTCGTATGATGAGTTCGAAGGGTCCAACAATGTTTAATTTTCAAACCCAACCCATCTTCAATTCCCCCGAGCCCAACTCTGGTAGAGGGTTAGGAGGGGAAGAAACTTGGGACTAAAGTTACATGACAAGTGACGCTAGTATAACAGATACTACACACACACATATACATAAGTGGGAGGTTTAAAGTTTGATTCTCGTATCAAATGATTGTCAGCCCGTTGCGAGGAAATTGAGTAGACTCCCGTTACCCACCAAAAGGTAAGTTCAAAAATTCTCTTAATTTTCAAGTGGCGAATTTTGTTCGAAAAAAAAAGTCAAGCGGAGGGATTTTCGCAAACCCGTTTTCTGCCCACGCACCACTCTCAGTCTCATAGACTTTAGATTGAATAAATAAAATGAAAATGCAATGACAGAACTTAAAGAAGTGCATAAGGAGAAAAACGAGAGGGAAAATCACTACCTTTATTCAACCACATTTTGTCGCATTGGAGTAGATAAGTTATGGTGCTACCAGAGAATAGGGCACAGAAAAACTCACAGTAAAATTCCAAATAAAACTATCAATAAACATATGCAATTAAGATGAGATTTGCTGATTTAGACATTGATATTAGTCAACTGTAGGCAGTAGGTAATCTAAATCTAACTAGACTTGTCCAAGCATTGCAACATCTGTGAATGAAAGAAGATTCATGAGAAAAGAATCAACCATCACCAATACCTGGAAATAGGATTTCATATCAGAAACCAATATCAACCCTTACGAATTAAATACTTTCCCAAATGCAAGACTGCCCCAAAAATTCAGGCTCAAAACGCTCCATCTGAGAGTTCATCCTCATCCTCATCCTCGGTGAGCTCTGAGCACGTAGAGAGCTGCCTGATTTCTTTAACCAATGACAAAAGCGGCTGGATAACATATTATCCAGCAAACAAAACCGAACCATGAATTTCCATACTTTTTCCCTTTTTTTCCATCTTTCATCTCATGCAACAAAAATTCATCGCTCACTTTTCTGGCCAGAAGATCATGTAGGACTCGGTTTCTCACTTGCCTTGTAAAATAGCATTTTCTGTACATAGAACATCATGTAGCCCTGTGCTGCCCTCACAATGTTCTCATTAACTTGTGTGATCCAAGCATCGTCACACTTGTACCACTGATTACTCAATCGCAAGTAAGTCACATAATGGCCTGCATCTAGCTTGCCTGTGTGAGTGACGACAGCAAACAACTCAAACTCTGAACATAAGTCATTTGATGCATCCGGCTTGTCCCCAGCAAAAGGCAAAATCCTATTTCCAAATCGGCTTCTCAAGATGGAAGAAGAAAGATAAGGAGCCATGTCAAGCGAAAATGGGAACTGCAAATAACGGTCAACCTTCCTTGACATTTTCCTCACCGAAGAATGTTCAAATCGCTTGATGTGGAAGCATGAAACCAAAGGAAGCTTTCTTATGGACATTTGCTTGAGAGACTCCTGCCTCACCTGACACTGCTGGCAAAAAAATTTCTGGTCAGCGCCCAATCTCTCAGGTCTCGTAAAGCTGTCCAAGCATCCCATAAGGGTAGAAACCCCACAGTTTTGGCTGGAATTCATGCAATCTGCCTCGCCATTGCAAGAATGACTTGACTTTGTGGACCCAGTCTTTGCAGAACCTCCTTGGTTAGGTTCCAAATCTAATGAGATGTCCACACATGGGTCATATGTTGTAGATGTAAAACCACAGGCCATACACATGACATCAGATCGCAAGATACCAGAAAAAACTCTGTGAGCAACACAACAGTCTCCATTGCCTGCACTACAAAAGAAATGAAAATTTATCAGCGACTTTTTTTTTCATTAAGTACATGCAAATGCAGGTGAAGATCCACGTCTAGACAAAATACAAACAATTCAATGTCTGGAAACACTAGAAAGAATGCCTTGGAATCCATCTCTAATGGACAAACATTAACATAACAGTTACAACGAAAGCTTTATTGATAATGCGCAGCCTCTATATCCTATATGTCCCAGATTAGTCAGATATCCTATACGTCCCATATATGTCAGCTACTCAATCATCCAGTTATATCATTAACAATAATTTTGGGAAAATGCACCTCCTCACTCCTCAGAACTATAGGGAAGTTGAATGACAAGGGAAAATGCCCAGTTTCCAAGGTGATAAGGAAAGGTAGTTAAAGTCTGATAACAACCTATGCCAAGAAGTAGGTAGAAAGCAACAAGATGGCTGATGATGCAAGAAAAGTTTGAATTGGAGTACCCACAGGACTGATAAGAAAACTTTTGCTGGCTGCGAACCTAAGAGAAGAATCTTATAATTTTCTGGGTTTGGGGTCATTGTTGTAATTAGACCCTAAACATGGCACAAAGGTTGAGTTAATTGAGGACTATAAAATACGAGAACTCCCCAGCTAGATAAACCCAAGACAGCTAAACGAAAGTGGACTTACTGGGTGAAGCTGATAACGCCATCAAGCCAGCAGGTAGAGGTTGAAAATTAGCCCTAAATTGTTCAGCACTTCTCAACTCCTAGGGCAACAAGCAAGATACCTAAACCCACACCCTGCATTTACATGTTAAAGTCACCTTAGTTTAAAGAAAACGAGAAAAATACAGATGTTGGGGAAGTCAACTGCTCATTAGGAACTCTTAAGTTAGTCGTCTTGCAATATTGCCATAGCACCTAATTTTTCACACTCCCATCTTGTAAAGCCCATCAGTTCATTTTCTGATATAAGAGAAAAGTATTACGGGAAGCTCTCTTAACCCATCACAGGGTTCGCAACACTAGTTTACCACTAGGCGGCCACAAATACACTAAAGACACGATATTAAAATAAATTCTAAGCTGGCCAACGAAAAGTGATTACGACTTATGAAATGCACTAAACCAAACCTAACAATTTCCCGAGATAACAATATCTCTGAGGAGCTACAGAGAGTGGTGTCCAAGAGTAAAACTAGATAATTCAATAAAATCTACTTCTTTTTTCCCAGATTAGCAATTTGCCAATTTATATTACTCTATGACAGAGGCAGGATTCTATCTAGAAATTTCAGTATTAGATGAACTTCAAAAGCTCTCAGAAATGATCAACTTCTACAAAATCCAATGCGGTTTCAAGTATAGGAGCTTCCAGAAAGAAATTAAACACAGAGGGCCCTACTGATTCAAATTCCATGTATACATTCAGAAACAATACACAATAAAATTTTGTTCTTTAGCAATTGTATCTTATGATGTCCCCATGAATTTCAAGTAGCATGCACATAAAACACAACATGAAAATTAACAGATACAAGTTTCGGATTGAGAAAGAATTAACCTTGGCTCTCGGGTTTCCGCCGATCCTTATCCACCTTCTCATGAATCCCATCAAGCATAGAAATGAAGAACTCATGCGCGTCCTGCTGCTCATAACTCGCCAAATTCGCGGCGTACTGCCACCAACTACGGCATTACCACAACAACAGATCAGCAAAAACCCGAAAAATCAAACAATATTTTCGCCATCCCTGCACCCCTGACCACCTACATTGTGATTAAAATGCGATTTGTACAGATTACAAACCTGTACAAGAACTTTGCGGGGCTATAAGGCGTCCGCTCCCCCGAAAAAACCGCAGAAAACGTGGCGTCCATGTCGCAGGCCAAGCACACGCGCGCAGCGCTCTTGTTCCCGCCACCATCAATAGTATTGGCAGCAGTTTTCTTGGCGGCGTTATCGGCATTGCTCTTCTTCTGGCAGAAGTAGCGGTTATGCCGATCGCTGAGGAAGTAGTTCCGCAACGGCGGCGTATGGAGCAATGCCTGCAGAACCGAGTTCATAAAGCACGTGTTCCCCAAATTGTTGAGCCCGCGCAATCCCCAAGGCAAATCGGAGACGTCGCCGTTTAGGGGACTGGAATTCTTCCCCACCAAGTATTGCTCTCTCAGATTCGGTATCCACGGCTTGTAGTCGATACGGCGTCGCTTCCGGAGATTCTCCGGCGCGTACTGCTGGACTGCTGACGTGGCTGAGGAGGCCAGAGTCGAAGCGGCGGTCTGAGCAAGGACGACTGCGGCGTCGAAGTCGCGATCGTAGACTTGGTCTCTACACGCGCAGCAGAAGAGCTCCGCTCGGTCAACGTCCACGGCGATCTCGTGACCGGGAGGCATCGAGAAGGCGTGAGCCGCAGCGTGGGATGGTCCGGGTGGCACGTGACAGTGGACGGCAGCGCACGTGATGCACGCATAGAGTCTGGGACGCTCGGACTCCCCGCACGCGCCACATCGCGGGACCTCCTTGGGATCGCGGCGGATAGATGCGCGGCCACCCGGCGGCTTGACCCGTAGACAGTCCTGCAAGGCCCGGAAGGGCTTGGAGCCATTGTTGGAGAGGAACTCGGCAAGGTGAGGACAGGGCTGAGGCAGAATCTGGCCGTTGATCTGTTGGCGGGGGTGAGTGATCTTGGCCATCGACGACATGGACGGCGATGATGGTGGCGGTGGAGGAGATTGGGGTGAAATTGATGGTGGAAACCCTAAGGTTAAAGGACATACGGTTCATGGATGGGGGGAAGAGATCAACGGCTGAGATTGAAGGGAATGGGAGTGAAAGACCTGGGAGTGCGATGAGTACCGCTGGCTGTGTGTGTTGTAAGTGTAGTCTGCTCAGCTTTCTTCGGTCTACAAGTTGACGAAAAAGAAATAAGGTAAACACTTGGTTTCCAAAAAATCAATAATTTTAGCTAAAATATCTCCGTATGGTAACGGGAGTTGTCAAGTTCGAATCATTTCAGTAATTTTTATGTTGTAAATGAATATCATGTTGCTTAGTGCATTTTCTTAACCATCGTAAACTGGTGCTGATGTTCACCATCACAATAAATAATTAGTACGTCGATAAGCATCACTACCACTTAAAACAGAAAATTTTCATTGTGATTGGAACATAAAGGGAACATCATGTGTTTTTTATGTAAATTGTGAGAAATTTTATTTTTTAAGTTATTAACTTTTTAACACACATATCCCATCATTTGTGCAGCAACACATGATGTATCACTCCGTGTACCGATCACACTGAAAAATTTCTCCACTTAAAGTTTTGGTCGGTTCTGATTCATTTGATCAGTTAGCGTTTGGATAAAGGGTTTATACCTCGATTAAGAGCCCTTTCTCCAAACATCGAGGTGTCCCATTCGATTCTCCCTCTTTCTTAACTATTACAAGCATAACAGCATTCTTTGATTCTCCTGTCTCAAAAAGTTGGCAGAGCTACCAAACAGACCCAATCATTTTGTTGGCTCACAATCATGGGATTGGACTATGAAACTATGGATTGCTTGGGAGTTGGGACGAGGATTTCACCCATTAGCTCATGTTTCTATTTGTCCATACAAATTTAGTCCCAAATCATTACTACAAATCATGTTGTTCTCCTTTTCTGGTAAACAATTGAATCCATCTACCCTTAGTCAGTTTTATAACCCTTGCCTCAATACGGAGCACCACGTCATCACTAGTCCGTGTGTGGAAAGTACGAATGACATGGTCCTCTGCAAGTGATCAAGATCCTCTCCTGAGCAGATGGAGAGGATCCTCCTGACCAGGCCCATCAGGTCGTTCATTTTTTATCCAACGGTTATAATTATAATAACTTTTAGAGGAGCCCCTGTTTGTAACCGTTGGATAAAAAATGAACGGCCCGATAACCCTGGTCAGGAGGATCCTCTCCATCTGCTCAGGAGAGGATCCTGGTCCCTCTGCAAGTATATGAGATGAGATGTGTTTACTCTGCGGTACAGGGCTCTGTCGAAAAATCGGTGTTTTATTCGTATACAGGGCTCTGTCGAAAGAGGAAGAGAAAGTATACACTGTAGGTTTCGGAAAGAGGTGTCTCCGATGTGCAAGGTAATCTGGTGGCTTAACATCACTACACTGCTGCCTGTTCAGAATCCACAACAGCAGCTATTCTACTCAGGCTGACGGAACAATGACGTTCATAAATTTCCTTTTAGCAAACGCCAACCACCACTTGTTGGGAGTCCCATTCGGTCTATAAGCAACGCTCAATAATCTCCCGCTTGCTTCCTCCCGTATCTGCTTCAAATAATTCCTCAGCAATTCTGCAACCATTCAATACTTTGAAATATAAGATAACGTATATATGTATGTGTGTGTGTGTATTTAGCGTCTGAAGCGGGCAGATGAAAATAACCTTTAAGAAGAATCGGTAGTGTAGCATCAAGTTTAAAGGGAGAAAAAGAAAACCGGGATTCATGTATTGAAGATGCAACGAATGTTCTACATGGAACTGACGGTATGTCATGCTGAAGAGTTAAACTGAAGAACTAACAATATGACTGTCTTATCTCAATAATTGGCTCAAAAGAAGAATACATGTGTTTGTTATTAACAATTCAAGTTCAGATATCCTAGTGAAATATGTGAAACTCTAATGAAAGAATTCCCTGTGGAGGGTCTGTTTCTTTATTTATTCGGAATTGATAGTCTAGCAACGAGTCAGCCGATTCAAGACCATCTATGGTTCAATAAATGAAGGCATGTTCCATAACCGGATAAGCATGCTGAGAAATATGAAGGCGTCTCAAGGTCATCTCAGAAGGTCAAAAATCAATCATCTATTGATAACTGAAGTGAAAACAAACAAAGCAAGTCAAGCAGCCAAACAAAGGTAGGGCGCCTTGTATTGTGACAGTCCACGAGGACTAGAGTGATAGCGTTTGTTCAAAACATTAACTGCTAGAACATTCCAAATCAACTCGATTTTTATGTTCATCAATATCCATAAAGCTGGAACTTAAAGAGAAGACATCAAGAATAACTTAATCAAAAACTAAATCGTAGTGCCATATATCCAAGGTTTGCAATTGAGAAACTAGATTAGCTTATCATTTTAATCGGCTTAATCAATTAACATATAAGAGCAAATAATATGAATGATTCTAAATGTAAGCACAGATGAGAAAGAGCTTCACCTGCTTCCCGCTGGGACTGAGGAAGAGGAAAAAGTCCCGGGAAAGGGAAACTTGGCTCTCCAGGAACAGGAACTTTTTCAAGTCCCAAATTAATAATGGCCTTGGTTCCTTCAGCCAAGGTTCTGCAACCCTCAAGCCGCTTCAAAGCCACATTGATATAAAATGTCAAATAAATGAGGAGCTTATCGGCCGAGCTCTTAATATCAAAGTTCCTAAAGAAAACATTAGCTCGAAAGAATGTAATCGCTTCATCAACAATATCCGTTCTATCTGCGCAGAAGAAGATTCATCGTATCAATAACAAAAAATACGACAAATCAAACAATCTCATCAGCTAATAATATGAATGTGCTTGTAAACATCTAAACCTTGCTCTGAAACCGGGGCAGGTCCCTTTATGTGGGTTTTCAAAGGTAAAAGAGGGCATCCACAAGCTTTAGTAATTTCTTCATCGTCAACGAAACTAGAGTGATAAACCTGTCACCATAGTTGTCAACTGCTGTTTTAACTAAATCTTTCATTGACATTTATCTCTCTCCTCAGTGTATTAAAGAAACATGTGTCGAAACCGAAAAATTGACGATCACCAGCTAATGATCCTCCACAATTTATCAAAATGATGAGCATAAAATTGAAAATTAGGAAAAAAAGATAGAGGCTTTACCATCTTTCTGAGCCGAACGACTACGTATCACCACGACTTAGTTTCCAAACAACCAATTGGGTCCCTGAAAATTCAGCGATGAAGACATTACATGGTAATTTAGGTGAAAACATGATGAAAATTAAAAATTAAAAATTAAAAAACAGAGAAATTTAACCCAAATAAGAAGCTTATGACTGCAATTGAAAGAGAACAGAAAGTGTAATTATTGTTATCCAAACATTGAAAAGAGAATTCAGCTTCGTTAGTTTCTCTCTCTCTCTCTCTCTCTCTCTAGATTTTCTCAGCTACCAGACACCATTCTCTCTCTAGATTTGATCAATTGCCAGGAAAACAGAAAGCGAAATTTATAATACAGGAGTAAATATTGGGTAGTAAATTCAGTACCTGGTCGAATAATTTCTTCAATGGGGGTTTGGAATTGTTGGAGCTTTCAGCTTTCACAGAGAATTGGCATTTGGTGGGAGGAAGAAGGAAGGAGGGAGTTGGTTCCTGCGAGGTGATACCTCGCCTTCGAGAGTACGCTACAACTCGCCCTCTCAACCGTCAATCACATGTAGGCGCCACTTGTGATTGACGGTGGTAATTAAACTTTTAAGTCATGCTACAACCGGGTTGAATGACCGGCTTGGAAAATTGACCGTGAAAATGGGGTTTTCACCCGGTTGAATCTTAGGTTAAGAACTTCATCTCGTTCGTCCGTTTTAATCTAATGGTTCCTGTGCACATGTGTAATTAGTGATATGCATTCACTTCCAACATAAATTGGGTTCAACAACTTGTTAAAGCTCAAAACTGAAAGGTTAGTAAAAATCAGTGTGCTCGGGACATAAAGCTAGGTTATGAACAAAGTATAAAATGATTCATCCCTAAATATGGGGCTACGTCCTTGTTGTGATGTGGGTTAGAATAGCACTTTACAATAATGTAGTTGACGTTTGAACAGACTTGTCTTTGGAGCTCTATGTTAGAAAATTGTCAGGTCTACCGACTGCCTCAAGTGGTCATAAAGTATTATTAAGTTATGCTATTGTCTCTTCTTGTCAGTAGACCTTCGTGCTATGAGTGATCAATGGTGGCAGTTGTCCTTCATTCTTGTGTAGGTGTTCTGTCAATTGGATTCCTTAGGCTGCCTTGTAGGTCCAATGACTTATTTTCTCATCCTTTAGTCGGCCTTACTCATGCTCATCTTATTAGGCCCGACAATAATTATATATTATTTTAATAGGTCTATAAGTACCATTCATTGACATGCTAAAGAGGCCCAAATATGTAGATTGTGAAATATGCTAATATATGTTATGGTTGTGCTATCCACACACCATTTTTTACTTCTCACATACCCTTGTTGATTTTTGTCATTTGATATTCTTCAATTCATCCAATCCGATGGCTGAAAATTAAAAGAATGTGTAAGAAGTAAAAAGGGGTGTGTGGATATCACACCCCTATATGTTATGTTTTGTTTTTGACGACTTTTGAAATAGCTAAAGACGTTTCTTTATCAACCAAAAGTGTTTTGCTATATTTTGAAATCAAAGTGTTTTTTTGGAAAAGCCATGCTGCCGAGTGCTAGGTTCTTAAAAAAGAATGTAAGTTTTTAGTGAAAATGCTGACGTATTTCTAAGGGAAAGGGATTATCTCCAGGTACCTTCCTCCTAATCCTAAGGATCCACCAATCCGGATCATTGAAATTTGATTCAATAACTAAAATTATTATAATTTTTAAAGTGATTCTATTGTTGTAGCAATTGGATCAAATTTCAAGGGTCTGAATTAGTGGATCCTTAGGATTAGAAGGAAGGGATCTAGAAAGGATCCCTTTTTGTAGCTAAGAACACCTATAAACACAAGTGATTCTTACATAATTAGTCAACAAAAATCTCATTGTGATTATGTATCTATGTTGTCCTTATTTTTTAGTTTTATATACACGAGGAATGCTAAACTCTCTCAAAAGTTGGACTCTTTATGGACTCTCCATCACTTTATCTATTTAGCACAATTCCGCATCAACATTATAAAATATTATACTAAAAAATGAGGTGATGGAGAATCCTAATTTAAAAGAGTTTTGTAGCATTTTTCTATATAGATAATTTGTTTATATGGATTTGTCTTATTTTAAAGTTGTTACGTTCGTTGAAGACTTTTTCTTGTTCAAAATTATGTGAAATAATCAAATTTAAAATGGTGACTTTTTCTCCTCCAATAATATGTAAAGTAATCAAATTTAAAAAGAAAAACTAATGAAAATGACTTGAAAACTTTGAGTTTTAACGATTAGAACAACATAAAAGGTAAAGTAAATAGTATAAGTATTGACTTTTTAATGTAAAAATATGGTTTTTCATTAAAGTGAACAGTACCATGAGCTTTTCATTAAAGTTCCGTGATTATGGTGTCCACTACCGATTTTAGCCAAAACTATACTTGAAAAAAAATAATTTAATCCAACATTTCTCTCTTTTATTTTATTTTATTTGGTTGTGTGGTTTTGGTGAACGCCTTTTTCTCCAACCGCTAACTACCAAGCCCGCCAAAAAAAAGACAAGACAGCTGAGATGGATGATCAAGTGTTGGAGGTGGAGGTGGAGGTGGATCAAAGCCACCTTATACTTTTCTGATTGACTATAAAACCCTAACCGATAGATTGCCTGATTTAGGAAGGAGAGATCCACATGGAGCCAAACAACGAAAAAGCAACTTCCAAATTACTACGATTTCGTGTTAGAAAATGATTTTTGCAAGTTGATTTCGCCTTTCGCATCGCATTGCCAAACGACAAATTATATTTACAACGTGAAATGCAATTAAAAGAATAGCTCAATCAAAACTTGCGTATTGGTAAGAGTAATGCGTTTCTTCAACTACATAAAAAATTAAACTATTATCTAGTCGAGATTAAATTTGAAGATCGCGTTAATAAGTTTGATGATTGATAGTTGGAAGCCAAGGGAAGTTACTCGGAATATAGGTTTTCTTAAAAGCTAGACCACTTTTGCATGCTTTGAAGCCTCAAATGAGTTGAGTTTGAAGCAAAAACAAAAACCAAACCAAGGCAAACATATTAACATATACAACATCGTCAACTTCGGCATCATCCTACGTATATCCAACCACTTCCAAATTTCCAATATTCTAAAAAAAAAAGAAAAAAAAAGGAGAAAAGGAAAATTTATAACCATTGCGGCCAAAGAATGATGGATGATTTAGAAACTATTTGTATCTCTGTACAAGGCATGACATTCTAGTACTGGGAATTATCAAATTAAATCCCCGGTAATTAATCAGATTAAACTCGTAAACGAAGATGTCAGCATGTACGGGATGTTCGCCATGGGACCGCGTTGGAGGGCAAGCTCGTGGATGTCCTTGACAATGTCGAACACAGCCTCAGGTTGCGCTAGTTTTAGTGCATTCTCCGACATCATTTTCAGTTCGTCTGTTTTCGTGCTGAACCATTCTGCGACAATCCTCGCTGTTTCCTTGGGACTTCTGGTGAAGACGCCGGCCCCATTGTCCACCACATAAGGCACATTGCCCTTTTCCTGGGAATCCAAGTGGAAATGTTAGTCGATCAGTTTGAACAAGTTGTATGAAAAAAGAGAAGAAAATGCACGAAAAATGATCACTTACTTGTCCGGGAATGTAGTCGTTGAGGATAATTGGAAGCCCTCTGATCAATGCCTCTGCGATTGTGCCAGGTCCTGCCTTTGTTATGATGCAATCACAAGCTCCCATCCATTTTTCCATTTGTGTCTCAAATCCTCTAACCTGCGCATTCGAAGAATGTAAAAAACTTAAAAATGCCACATCGAAATCTTTACAAAAACTGCATCAAAGTTGTCGAGGCAACATGTTTTAACAAGCAAGGACTAATGTGTACCTTCACTGGAATGTTCCATTCATTGGATTCAAGCGTGGCAGCGAGGGTTTTATTCCGCCCGCATATGATGATCAGCTGACCAATTGGTTTTCCAGCTTCGTTATCAAAGAGTGTCTCTCCAAGAGCCCTTGCAGTTTCCTTTACAGGCCCCATTCCTTCGCCACCTCCCATGAGCAGAACTGCCGGCAAGTCAGGGTCCATTTCGAGTTCTTCTCTGAGTTGATCCTACACAACCGTGAATTAGAGGGTGCGAATAAAGGCACAATGAATAAAATTCAGTAACCAAGCACTCAATATTGAACCTTCATACATACAAACACATTCTCAGATGTGCAAAGTTGCAAACACACAACACTACACACCTTGGAGAAAACCGCCCGAGCAAAAGAGGGCCGGATGGGCAGGCCAAAGACCCGTATCTGAGACTCGTCAAGGCCATCTACTAGCGCCCTTTTCGCTACCTCCTGTGAGGGGCTGTAGCACCTATTGACACCAGGATGAAACCATGTAGGATGGCAGGTGTTGAGGTCTGTGATAACCGTCACGAAAATCACCTTCTTCTGCAGGCCTTGCCATTTGAGCACCCACAGAGGAATATGTTGCATCAAAGGATGCACACTGATTATGATGTCCGGCTTGTACTCCATTAGACCAGCCTCCACCTCCCTTCAGTTAAAATAATTCCCCAATCAATACTTAATTAACAAATCTAGGTAAAAATTAAGACTTTGTAAGTCGATCAGAATCGGATTCTCCACCCAAATCCCATCAATAATTCACAATTAGTTTAGTCTCTAACAATTGATTAGGTGACAAGTAGATGAGAAGAATCATTTCAAAGGAAAGATAGAAAATTAAAAGCACAGGTAAAAGTTGGAAAGATACGTAAGAGTAGTATCATACTTCATTAAAAACTTTAGTAGGAATTATGTGACTAAAACTTTAGCTTCAGTTGCAGGAGAAATACTTTGATAGGAGTGCCCGATCACACCTTCTGCACGGCACAGCTCTACTGAAGTTTCTCTCTTCTTGCAAAGTTATTTATGGGGTTTTCGTTGAATTGAAAGCGAAAAGCAAAAGGAGGTAAGGAAACTTACTTGGCATAGTAGGCTGCAATGGCGGCGAGATAGGCGCTGTGGATCCATCGGGGAGAGGTGCTGTGAAATGCAACCTTCCACAGCTGCACATGCTTCACCATGAATTTGTACGATCTCTCCATATCGTTTAACGGCCAACCTGTGTACTCTTTCCACACATCCTTCACAAATATCTGAAATATCAAATCGAATAAGCATCTCATGAATAATTGTAGAAACAAAGATTATAACATCAATAATTACTAAATCTAAATGTAATTAATTTTGGCAACATAAACTTGATCAAGAAATACAATAAAATATTATTATTATTATTATTACTATTATTTTATATATACAAGAAAACCATTAAATTATGAACAAAATGAAGGAAAAAGAGAAGAAAACCCAAAAAAATTCTGAAGGGTAATCAAGAACCGAAATCGGCAGTTACCCTGTATTCATCGCCAAACTCCATGCGGAAGGCATCACGAATGGCCTCGGAGGAAGCGCGGTGGCCGCCGCCGGTGTCGCTCATGAGAATCAAGACGTTCTTGGTCCTCTCAGCTCCAATCTGCACGAGCTCCACCGTC